TATATATATATATATACACACACACACAATTATATATATATATATATATATATATATATATATATATATGGATTTTTTTTAGATGAGATCTTGTTTTAATCTAAAGAGATGCTTCAGTCGAAGAGTTTATCGTAACTGGTGGAAGAAAGTATGAACGAACCTGACTATGTAGCTGTGCTATTTCAGAATCTTCTCTTTCTAAAGCCCGAATGAGCTGCGCAAATTGTACAGTACCTGCTTCGTGTGCACATGATTAATTTTTTAACTCTATTTTTCATCATATTTACTTTTAATGTATTCTTAATCTACGCACCTTCTCTTCCTTCTGGAAATCCATAATTTTTTATGATATCCATTTGAATCTGTGTTACTAATGGGAAAACAAACTGCATCATTTTCAACATCTCATTGCCAGAACTTTCCTTTGCTTCTGCAAGCTTTTGCAAGTTTTCAGGTGTATTTAGTGCTGTCAGAATGTCGGTCAGTATAGCTGAAAGAAAAAAATGTTTATTCATATATTTTATTGTATATTTATAATTATACAATTATATTTCACATAATCATATTTAATATATATACATACATATATATTTATTTATATTTAAGTTATCAACGAACTCGTACAATAAACGCGAATTTTGAATTGTAATAATATACAACTTCTTATAAAAAAAAAATTATCTTTTAGATTTCTAATTACCTTTCGCAGTTTCCAATGTAAAACCAGGAACGCTTGCCATAATTAATCAGAATATAATTATACCAAAGTATAACCGAAGATAGATTTTTTGGGCAACGTTATCACTGCAGTTGAATCGCTAATTATGTATGGTAAACTGAGATCTTGCAAATTACTATTTAATATTTGTTGTAATTAAGTCGACAAATATTTTATATGTAAAAATTTTTCATATATAATATCCAGCAATAAGAACAAATATTCTTTTTCCAGATTATCATATGTAATTTGACGAGATTCACTAACAGTTAATAATTGTTTCTTTCACTACTGATAAAACTGCAGTACTTCGATTTATTTACATTTATTTGTAAATGACAGCCATCCGCAGACCACTTTGACATTTTCGAGAGCATCAGATGGCAAACGTAAAACGCGCCATCTTGTTGAGAATAAAATAGGTCTGTTCTTTTTAGCTGAACTTCTTGCACAGTTTATAACTAAAGAGAAATCTGAGAGGCCATGCCGGCGTTCTATCTGTTACTATCGAAATCACCCATACACTACCTCCAGACATGCATTTTCAATAATTCTCTAAAATTAAAAATGGGTGTACAGTAGCGTATGGGTGATCCGATGTTAACAGAAAGAAGACTGGCATGGTCTTTCAGATTTCTCTCTGCCTATAAACTTGCAAAGTGCAACTGGTCTGTTCTTTTTAGAACCACTTTCACCAAACTGCGATTAACTTAACAGGCCTAAACTTTGCAGGATTCTAACTGAAGCTGATGTCGGAGAAAAAATGCAAAGAGAGAAATTATAAATATAAGTTTGTAATACTAACTTATGTAGCAAGATTTCTCTCTAGTAGCTATTTGTTAATATTTGTTAACCTATTTTTGTATTCAATATATTGTAAAATTACAGTTAATTATAATTAGTGAAATATGTTTAACTCTTCAATTCACATTTTTTCTTCGATATCATTTTCAGTTATCCTGCAAAGTTATTAGGCTTGTTAAGTTAATCGGAGCTTGGTGAAAGTGGCCCTTAGCTAAAGTTCTTGCACAGTTCATTCTCTTCAATATAGAAAAAAAAAAAAGATGAAAATCGTGCAAGAAGTTGAACTAAAAAGAACAGAGTTAAAGCTATTGACACACACTTTCCGTAACCATACAATCGACCTGATTGGTTGAAAACCTTACTATATGGCAAGTGTATGTGACTAGCTTTATGCATAGTCTACAATGGCAGTAGCAGTAGTAGATGAAGTTATAAGAGTAACAAATTGACCAATCACAGTTGAATGTAAAAAGAATAATCAATTGTGATTGGTCAATTTCTTACTCTTACAACCTCATCCATTGTTATTGTAGATCACGCATCATGCATGGTCTACAATGGGCAATGACAGTAGTTGATTAAGAAGTAGACGTAAAAATTGACCAATCATAGTTGAGAAAAATAATCAACTATTACTCGTATATTTCAAGCCTTATATTTAAATTTATCTTTAGATGCTCAGCAGCCAATAAAATAATTCGTGGAGTATCTAAAGATAAATTTAAGGAAACCTTAAATATTGTACAAGATCTAACTATGAATACGGGCATATGATTGGTCGATTTCTACGCCTACTCCTTAATCAACTACTGTTACTGCCCATTGTAGACCATGCACAATACAATAAAGAAGAAATCCCACGTTGCCATTATTCGACATGCTACATGCTACTAAAATATTTCCAAAAATAAACAAGAGGACGATAATTTTTTGCATTGATTTAGATTCTAAAGAATTTAAGAAAAAGAATTTACTAGAATTTTATCAAGTATATGTATCAATTACTTTATTATTTTCAGCATATTAGATATTACGACTCGGAGTAGTCGGAGTGTTATAGTATAGGTTAAGATAAACATCTTTAGAAATTTGAAATGATAGCTGAAACGTGAGTTTGTTTGAGATAATTGAATTTTCTTGAGCAAATATTGGGTCATCTAAAAAGTATCCGCGGTATTCTTTTTCCAGATTATCATATGTAATTTGACGAGATTCACTAACAGTTAATAATTGTTTCTTTCACTACTGATAAAACTGCAGTACTTCGATTTATTTACATTTATTTGTAAATGACAGCCATCCGCAGACCACTTTGACATTTTCGAGAGCATCAGATGGCAAACGTAAAACGCGCCATCTTGTTGAGAATAAAATAGGTCTGTTCTTTTTAGCTGAACTTCTTGCACAGTTTATAACTAAAGAGAAATCTGAGAGGCCATGCCGGCGTTCTATCTGTTACTATCGAAATCACCCATACACTACCTCCAGACATGCATTTTCAATAATTCTCTAAAATTAAAAATGGGTGTACAGTAGCGTATGGGTGATCCGATGTTAACAGAAAGAAGACTGGCATGGTCTTTCAGATTTCTCTCTGCCTATAAACTTGCAAAGTGCAACTGGTCTGTTCTTTTTAGAACCACTTTCACCAAACTGCGATTAACTTAACAGGCCTAAACTTTGCAGGATTCTAACTGAAGCTGATGTCGGAGAAAAAATGCAAAGAGAGAAATTATAAATATAAGTTTGTAATACTAACTTATGTAGCAAGATTTCTCTCTAGTAGCTATTTGTTAATATTTGTTAACCTATTTTTGTATTCAATATATTGTAAAATTACAGTTAATTATAATTAGTGAAATATGTTTAACTCTTCAATTCACATTTTTTCTTCGATATCATTTTCAGTTATCCTGCAAAGTTATTAGGCTTGTTAAGTTAATCGGAGCTTGGTGAAAGTGGCCCTTAGCTAAAGTTCTTGCACAGTTCATTCTCTTCAATATAGAAAAAAAAAAAAGATGAAAATCGTGCAAGAAGTTGAACTAAAAAGAACAGAGTTAAAGCTATTGACACACACTTTCCGTAACCATACAATCGACCTGATTGGTTGAAAACCTTACTATATGGCAAGTGTATGTGACTAGCTTTATGCATAGTCTACAATGGCAGTAGCAGTAGTAGATGAAGTTATAAGAGTAACAAATTGACCAATCACAGTTGAATGTAAAAAGAATAATCAATTGTGATTGGTCAATTTCTTACTCTTACAACCTCATCCATTGTTATTGTAGATCACGCATCATGCATGGTCTACAATGGGCAATGACAGTAGTTGATTAAGAAGTAGACGTAAAAATTGACCAATCATAGTTGAGAAAAATAATCAACTATTACTCGTATATTTCAAGCCTTATATTTAAATTTATCTTTAGATGCTCAGCAGCCAATAAAATAATTCGTGGAGTATCTAAAGATAAATTTAAGGAAACCTTAAATATTGTACAAGATCTAACTATGAATACGGGCATATGATTGGTCGATTTCTACGCCTACTCCTTAATCAACTACTGTTACTGCCCATTGTAGACCATGCACAATACAATAAAGAAGAAATCCCACGTTGCCATTATTCGACATGCTACATGCTACTAAAATATTTCCAAAAATAAACAAGAGGACGATAATTTTTTGCATTGATTTAGATTCTAAAGAATTTAAGAAAAAGAATTTACTAGAATTTTATCAAGTATATGTATCAATTACTTTATTATTTTCAGCATATTAGATATTACGACTCGGAGTAGTCGGAGTGTTATAGTATAGGTTAAGATAAACATCTTTAGAAATTTGAAATGATAGCTGAAACGTGAGTTTGTTTGAGATAATTGAATTTTCTTGAGCAAATATTGGGTCATCTAAAAAGTATCCGCGGTTTTTTGTCACTAGATGTGTGTTGATGGTCATATATCTAGTGACAAAGTACCGCGGATACTTTTTAGATGACCCAATAATTTGTCCTTTTCATTTAATAATTAGTGTAGTATAATAAATATCTGTAGGACTTAGTAGAGAGAGAGAGAGAGAGATTTCAGTCATGGTAGACTTTTCAGTCATGGGATCCAATCATGATCAAACGTTTTTACACGTACTTCGTGAAGAAAAAAACATCAATAATTTTTTGGATTCTTTTTTTGGATTTTTACATAGGTGGTAAGTATTAGATGTATTAATGCTTTAAAAATAAAATTTTGTTTTACATAATAAAATTTACAATATCAGCACAGACTTTTATGTCGAATCGAACTCTGAGCAAAAATTAGGCTTCCCACCAGGAATAGCAGAGAAACTTGTATTAAATACCATGTACAAGTGGAGAAATGCTACATCTTTACAAAAAACAGGATTTCCTGTAATTGATAATACAAACAGCAGCAGTAGTATGTCAAATCAATTAATTCTGACACAAAATGAGAATTGTAAACTTATACCACCAGTGGCGCAGGAAATTGAAATTGATTCATGTAATGAAGCCAATAATATTAAACCATTTTCTGTACAATCTAATACAAACCATATATCAGACAGTTACAACGGAGCTATAAGGGAAAATTATACTTGGACCCAGACTCTCAATGATTTGGATGTAATTATAAAAATACCAAAACATATAAAAGCATCCAAAGGTACAATTAAAGTTGACATAAGCTCAAATGAAATTAAGATTGATGGAAAGCCTTCTGTTCCATCAGCAAATTCTGAATGGGAGAACATTTTCAATGGCAAATTTAGTTTTAAAATTCGAAGAGAAGAATCTATATGGAGCATTGAAGCTGGGAAACAAATTAGTGTGCGTTCATGTAAAACACATTCAATCTAACTGTTTAACGATATCCTCGAATGTATTTAGTATCTACTTATTCTATTTGTATTTATAGATTCATCTTGAAAAAGCTATGGAAAGATGGTGGGAAGCCTTAATTGTTGATGAACCGAAAATTGACTTAAATAAGATTGACTGTTCGAAACATTTTGACGATATGGCACCAGAAGAACAAATGAAAGTGCAAGAATTAATGTGGAATCAGCAACAGAAAATCTTAGGCAAACCAACATCTGAACAAATTGTAATTGTCTATATCTTGTCCGATTAGCATTTAAAGCGTGGAATACTTATTACAATTTGTAAATAATATTGTATTTATAGAAGATGGAGGCTACCTTGAAACAGGCATGGAATGCGAAGGGATCACCTTTTCTGGGTACGCCTTATGATCCTTCCATTTTAAAATATAATTGATATATTTTAATATATTTTCTAAAATTTTACAATGTTTATATGAATTTCAAATAAATATAAAAAAGCAGATTATGTTTATACATAATATTTATATCAAAATATTTATATTATAATAAATACACACACACACACACACACACACATATATGTATATATGTATAATATATACAACAATTTTATCACCTAGAAATCTTTCTATTTTAGTATTCTGAACATTTTACCTTATATGTTTTATATATTTAATATTATGAAAATAACATATTTTAAAATAAAATAATGTAAATTATTGCACTTTCATATTTGGATATTGCACTTTGAGAATAAGAATAACCCTAAGTAAGTAAATTATTTTTTAATAGTGTCAATCTATTGATATTACATTTCATATATTGATAATATATAAAAAAAATTTATTGCAAATTATTTTATATTAAAGAAAGAATAGCGAAAAAGCTTCCCTTTTTAGAAATAAATGCAGGTGTCTACGAAAGCAAAGAGCTGACGATCTGGATCTCGGCGATACCCTGTGAATCACGAACGATCCGAGAGTTCACAGAATGCGCGGAATCCTACGCTTTTCCCTGGTGTTTATGCTGACTTTATATCACAATAGTGGTGGGATCGTTCGCCACAGAGACGAGGCAGGAGCGGGTCACACAGGGACACAGCCTCGAAGAAACTGTTCTCATTTCGTCGAACGCGTTCGCAACTTTCCTAAGCTTTTCTTCGACCAATTCTAAACAGAGTTATAGCGACGATCTGATAATCGGCATGTAAAGATATATCTTTATATTGAAATCCGTATTACTCTAATAGCTATATTATCGACTGCGTTCTCTCTCTTTCATAGGAATACATATTTCATATAAAATCATAAGAAAATCCAAGTGAAGCTAACGACTCGATCGGATCTTTAACAGCAGAATATGATAATAAGACTTGAGTCAGATATAATTTTGGAGAATTCGATCTTCTATGTTGTAGAAATCTACTTTGTATCACGATTTACAAAGAAAGTGTCACAATACATCGAGATTGAAACACGTTCCAATTCAAACGTGTTCGATTCAAACGCGCTAAATGTACCGCCGTGACAATGTTGAATGATATACATCGCTGCGATAATATCCTCAGGAATTCCTGCTATAAGACTCGACAATTCTTCTCTCCCGCGTCATCAGTAGCGCCAGGTGCCAGGTGCAACAGCAACAGGTCGTGCGCGTTGAGCACCGCTGCAGGTAAAACACAGGTAATATACCTGCCCGAGGCTACGAGTCCATCCCCACCTGAGGTCCGGTTCTCTCTCCTTGCTCTCTCGGCCGGCTCTCCGGCTGGCTTTCCTTCGAGGTGAGTCGGGAGTCAAGCCGTTAGTATCGTTGCCGTTGTGACTGGAATGGTGGTGTGATGTGCATCGCGACGAAGTGCGCATCCTGAAGGACAGCGAAGTACGTGGATATTACGCACAGAGGCAGTTGAAGAGGCCCTTCCTCCCCCTGATTCCCCGCTATCGAATCTCTTTTCATCCCCCGGTGCTCGCGTGAGATCGAGCAAGATCGAGAGAGCCGCGTGCCCGCGTTCTCCAAAATCCCCCCGTGGTCCAGCTCTCCTCTTCGCAGTTCGTGGTGCGCTTCATGGCAGCTTCATCTTCGCGCTGATGCCCACATACAGTCGGTAGCAATAATCACCACGTAATCGCGGTGAGTGCGAGGTGAAGCTAACGGAAGAGACGAGAGAAAAAGAGAGACCGAGGATATTCGACGAAGAAGAGAGAAAGGAGAGAACGAGAAAAGATATCGAAGATAAAATATCAAGATGCCGTGCTCCGCAGTGACGCTGTCTCTTGCCACCATAACCGGTATAATCGCCACTGCTCTGCTGGCGATCGCCTTCTCCACGGACAACTGGCTCTACACCGAGGTCAAGCGCGCTCAGATCCAGGTTCGTATCAGGTTTTGATATTGACAGGAATATCCGTCGATCCTGCCTATCGAGATTTCACTCAGTGAAATATATCTACGTAGTGAGATATATCTCTCAAAAGTAAAAAAAACGCGCAATAACATAAATCACTTTGCTTCTTTACCTTTCCATTAAAAAAAAATATTTGTCAAATAATACATGTATTCGAAGTTCTAGTATATTTCTACGCTGAGATATATTTTCATATAAGTATTTTCAACATAAAAGCTAATAAATCGAATTACATTCGAATTTTGAATATATATACCGTTTGATCAACGCCTTCCTTTCCCTTTTCCAAATATCCTTTTCTAAAAATGGAAGGAAAAGGGAAAGGAACAAAGTGATTTCATGTTATCGCATTCTACCACTTTTAAGAGATTCGGTTTGTACTCTCTAATTCTTAGAGAATTAGAAAAGTAGTAAATAAATTATATCAAGATTAAAATTAATCTTTACTGGAAATGAAATGGACATAATTGTTGGATGCAAAATTAATTAAACACTAGATTTTAATTATAAGGGCTTTACTCTTTAGAAATATCCGAAAAAATAAGTATCCGAGTAAAAAAGGATATTCGTCATAATATATACTGCTTTGATAAAAATATAATCAATTTAATGTGTGTATTTTATTACAAACTTATGGATGCATATAAAATACATTTCTACTTATATTTTTATTTTAAACAAATTCTTTCGCTTCTCGCAGTTTTTCTCAAGAAGCATTCGCTGCATTTTCTTTTATGTGATCATGTAAAAGAATTCTCATTCCAAAGAAACGCATTGAGTGTGATTTGAAATATTACCGTAACCAATTTTTCTAAAGCAATAAAAACAACCCAGAAAAATGACATATCGTTCCATGACATCAAGATTTCAAATAAAATTCATTCTTTTCCATTATGTCTTTCCTGTGTTCAAGGGAAGAAAGAACAAATTTTTATCTCAAGATAATTCACAGAAAAAATCGTGAAGATATGGCATCCTTGAATTCTTGGGCCGAGAAGAGATTTCGACAACCGGTAAATAAAACACGTGACTTTGCCATGAAGCATTCTACGTACACGCGCTTTGAAGAATCTCTTATGAGAACGCATCACAATGGAAATTGTTCGTTTGCAAGGACTCGCGTTATATTAATGTATGCAATTTGAGGCATTGAAAAAAAAAATTAAAGTGGATTGCGAAAGCGTGGGATCTGATGATGGATTTTCGCGACGTTGCGTTATCAACGTCATTGAAGCTTAATTCAGTTTGGTAGCGGATGCTCTTCTCTCCATACTGTAGGATTCTGTGCTCTCATCTCAGTACAGAATCCTTATGCAAATTCTAATGAAAGTGCTGCACACGCGGACAGCCCCTGTGCTGAAAGAGCGCTTCGATCATTTATGAAAATGGACATCTTCCTGCCAGAAGTTAAATCCCATCCGAATCTCGTTACTTCTGGCGACCGAAGCTGTCATCAGCCGCCCGTGCTCGTGAATCTAATTTCTTCTACTTCCTCCGCATCCTTGAGGATGTGAATACAATGTGCTACAAAAAAAAAACTGCGGCACAGCTGTGATCCTTGGGCTTTCGCCAATCCCCTTTATTTTCAATGATAACGACAATTTTGTAGTTTTTGCGTTTGTGCATAGTGACACGTAATCGCATTAATGGGTACAATTTCCGACATCGTTATAATCTCATTTCTGACCACACAACAGATATTTATATCGATCTATAATGAGTCAACGGTCCATTATAGTAATTTCTATATAATGATGTGTTATCGTTACTATTATATAGTACTTTCGAGTAACCACAATCAGTTTAAACGATGAACTATATTTAAAATAAACACGTCAAAATATACAATTACTTAAAGTTATTTAAAGATTAAGCTGTTAATTAAATTAATTCAACATTTCATATTAAAAGGTTCACATAGTTTCATTCATTTTTACGATAACTACGAAAATTTTCACGATTGCTTAATGGGAAAAGTATAATTAAATAAATTAATGTTAGAAAGCAAATAGAAGCACTCAATGGAAGAAAAAAGCAAGTTCTTATCTCGGGATAATTCATAGAAACAAAGAGTTGCGAAGATATGCGCAGCGATATTATCGAATTCTCGCATAGAAGAATTTCGACAACGAAATAAAACCCACGACTTCTGTCTGTAATTTCTTTGCTTTTTCGAAACGTCAGTAATTTTAAGACGTTCGTAATTTATTGTTGGAAGGAGGGATATAAAAAATTATTCCACACACAACGATTTTGTTAATTGAAATATACTACAATCGAATAATTAGAAACAGGGCCGCTACAAATAACTATTAATTAGCGAAGCTAGCGAAAAGTAGCATTAATTAATGGAAAGATTGCGTAATCTCTATTAGAGGTTCAAAGAGAAATGTGCTCTTCCTCACGAAGGGGAAAATAGGAAGTAGAATTCCCCATAGGCTTCCGCCGTCCTTCTTATGGGTGAATGTACGGGTCGAAGGTCAAGTTTACCCTCTAAGGGTAGGGTCGTTGAAAGTCGGACGTTGTTCTCACGAGTTCTCCGTGGAATCGAGATGTCAGCGGTAATTAAAAAACTCCTAGTTGAAAAGAATATTAGCGAGGGATGCTTAAAAGTCTTTAATTAATTCTTTTAAGAAACAAGAGACTTCACTTAACTTGAACATGGCAGACCTTGAATATTAAAGACGACACTGAGAGGTTTACGTTATCTAATTAACTGAAGTTAATCTATTATCTTTTTTATAACAAAAATATCAAGTTAATCAAACACTTTAAATATTTAATGCAATTGATCGTGTCATTTATTCAATGATTTAAAAAGCCATATATCAAAACGATTGCAACTGATGTAATTAACTTTATATTTGTTTAAATGAAGTAATCACACGTCTTTTTCGTATGTTCGAACAATTTTCTTTTCTAGTAATAGGTTTTTTGAAACAATAATAAATTTGAACGTTTTTGCGTTTCTCTCGGTTGATTTAAATTTAAATCTTTTGTAGTATTCTTTTTTGACAGCATCACAATTTTTAGTTCTAACATAAGAAACTTTTTAATAGGATGATAAATCGATTCGTTGGCGTCGCGAGTTACGTGATTACGCCACGACTTGACGCAAAACGCAGCACGCGAAATATTCCAATGTGATGTAACTTCCTGCACAACGCAAAAATCATATCCATGGATGTATATAAGAATAGGAATTATTAAATAACAGGCACGTGGACATTCTATACGTCATCCAGCATGTAGGTGCCGCCACATCCATTCGGTATGAATGATTATAGTATACAACGAATATTGTACAACGAATTCGTCCAACTGCTTCGCGATTGATGATTTCCAACTCGCAGAGAAGGATTCAGCCTTCATAATAATTTTTATTTTTCGCGAAGAAACTCATCACTTATGCACCTCTTGTCTTTGACGTTATTAACGAGGTCGTTCTAAGCAGCTGAAGCTCGCCGCCGATTAAATCAGATTATCTCGTTAGCGGAATCTCATTTCGCGAGTATCCCATTCCTTTTTGCACTTTTCTCTTTCTCTCGACCCAGCTGGGACGGCTCTCCTCTCCTCTCTTCTTTCTTTCTTTCCTGTCTCGATCTCCCAACCCATCTCTCCTTCCGTACCTTCAGAACGATCGACATTCCGAGCCGCGCCCATTCTCAGCGCGTTGACTCAACGAGTTTTGTTTGGTGCACCGATCACGTGGCTGCACATATACACGCATATATGTCCTTTTGCGCGAGAATCGAGAGACGACAGATGAGCTTCCGTTGAATATCGGGATTCACGCAAGAGAGAGCAAATCCGCGCAAATGGACAGTCGCGCGCGACTGAAGAATTCGCCCATATCTCATTTTCACGAGATGTGATTGATTCCATTTTATCTCAAACAATTGAAATTCACAAAGGTTACGCCGTATTCAATCAGTTTCCTATAGTATCAAAATTCTCTTCATTTTTTAGCTTATTTGACATTCTACTGAAATTCCACCTGGACTTTTAGGATCCCTAAGGATCCCGTTCTAATAGTTCCTCTTTGTAATCAGCAAAATTTCGTTACAAATTGAAAACTGATACTTTATCGAAATCCCATATGGGACTCTTTTAGGACTTATGAATGCTGGTAGCTAATTCTCTCTCTATTAAACTTTCCACCTCAGTCGAGTGTCTTTATTAAAATATTTACGCATTGATTCTGGTGGACCAATAGTTTTGTACGATTAGAGATTGACCGATAGATCACCCACTGATCCACTTCTCGACGAAGATGGATGCGCAGTATTTGATTCGAGGGATTCTCGCGACGCAGCGTGACGCTCTGTTATTTTCTTTCGCGCGTCAGGAAACCGCGCGATTCCCGGACCTGGACGATCGGTTAAGCTTGCTTCCTCGCCCGAGTGACGAGAAGGTGTCGGGAGAACCGCCGCGTACAGTTATGTCGCCATCGCCGAGCGCATCCTGACCGCCGACGAGAGTAGGCGCGAGCGGATGCATGTTCCAAGTTCCAATGCCTATTCCGCTGCGAGTGGCACGCACGCGAGGTGATAATTCTACAGCCCCCGCGTACCCCGCGATGCGACCTCGTCAGCACGCGAGGTAGCCGTCGATTAACGGGAAAATGCGCGTAAATTCTCAACATTAACGAAACTCCGTCAATGACGGAGATTCTCTTCAGCTGAGGAGACTATTATATAAATGCCCGCCCGAGTCGAAATTTTCATCCTACTTTGAATCTTTGTTGTTTTTTTAGGATGTATGTAGACTCTAGAAATTTATAATAGGTTCTAATCTAATGAATTGAGCTCCTATGTTGAGTCTGTAAATGGCAATTATTGGAAAATTTCCTATTTTTAGTTTTCTAAATATAGAAGCTGTAGATTAAGTAATATTAAAAGAAGTACTATTTGATTGTTGAAGCATCAAAATAAGTTTATAAGGTTGAAAGAGATTGAAAGTAGGAT